TAGGCTACTCTGCAGGTTCCGGAAATAGTCCTCCATAAAATGTGCTGCACACATCTGAATATTTGGTTTGAACTGTTCTGGAACAGTGTTGTAAATTCAACTTAACCACTGATTTCTAGTTGTGTCCTCTTCTGGAAGACCAAACAAAGAAACACACAGTGTCACACATGGCGGGCTTGAGAACGGCATTGCGGCAACAAGGGGTCGAACGATATGTGTTTTTCAAGGCCGATGCCGATACCGATTATTACAGATCAAGTAGACCGATAACCGAAATTTTGAACCGATATATATGTCTGGTGTAAAAATGAAAATTAATGTCAAAATTAAGAATAACAAGGGCTCTGAAAAAAACCGCCTTCCCTGGTGTTGGTTGAGTGTAGTACTCCCACAGTAAACTCTTTATTTTAAAGAGTTAAACCTTTATTTTTGGGCAAACAAAGGGTTTCCCATTAAAATTAAAACATGGAAGAAATAGCGTATTGTGTGATTATTCTTTTAAACAAAAGTTGTAATAATTGTTGTAGTAGTCAGGGGTTAAAACAAAAACAAAAATCTTTTAACTGAAAATGTTTCCTCAGCCAAACCCCATTCCTCAGCCATACCTGTCACACACCCAGTTTAAGAGCAGTGATTTTCTTCTTATAATCAAGAGCGCTTGTCCTCCTAATTAAAAAAAATTAAGGAGCGCCTTCAAAAATTCTGATCAAAAATGAGCCTTCCTAATATGAGGTGAAGTGATTTACAGGGGCATTTTTTTTTATCTTTGCAATGGCATCATTTTCATCTGTCAAATTAAAAAAATTATGTTTATAAGCTTTTTAAAATTTATATTTAAAACAATATAATAAGAAGTAGAATAAGACAAATAAGTTACCAATCATGAAATTAGTATTAATGAAAAATTTATTTGTACTACAAGCGGTGGGCGGAGACTGCTTTAGGCCACAGAGTGGTGAGTTCTGACAGGCTGCATCAGAGCCAAATAGCGCGTTTCAAAATTAAGTTATTTTATCGGCGAATCGGTTTTGAAAATGACCGATACCGATAATCATAAAAATGCTTAATATCGGTGG